AGATTGGCTCATCTATGAGGAACTCTTCAGATATGAATGGGTAGATAGATGATTGATAGGTAGATAGATGATTGATAGATAGATGATAGATAGATATAGATATGCCAACCTAACCTCATTTTATAAGTAAATAACCATGAATTTCACTTTAAGAAAACTCTTCCAACCAAATAGGACTAGTTATTTTTCATCTTTCAACCAAATAAGACTAGTTATTTTTCATTTCTCAGCAGCAACATGCAGTTACAAAGTTTATAAGGTTGGGCTTTTAAACCTTATCATGTTCAATTTTTTAATCTTTAAATTGGATTTGGGAAAATTTTATTAAAACACGAACAAAAATATCCACATATATTTAACATATTTTTAAAATAACTTTAACATTTTCAGATAATGTAAGAGTTAATTTGGCAAAGGCAGGATTGACTTCACAGGTGTGTGGTGTGTGATCTTACAGTTGCAGAGCCCCACTTTCAGAAGGGCTCTGTGCTTGCTTTAATGCTTTGCTACTGCCATCTTGAAACTCTTAATAATTTTATTTTTGAATTTATGTTTTATAAGTGATGTCCACTGGGGCAATGGAGTATGAACATGAGCAGCAGAGCTGCAGGGTGGCAGCTGTGCATACACAGGTTCAGGCCTGCAGGCACAGGAGTCAGCACAGAAGCCAAGCAACTGTGGCAACCAAGGGAGATAGGAGTGGCTCACCCATGCCAGCAGGGACGGATAGGACCCATGGTGAGAGGCCAGCTGCTTCTCAGTCCCAGGAGCCCATCACTGCAGTATCTACACAAATATTAAATCTCTTGCCGAAGTTCCAAGACAGTGCCTGCAGAGCTCAGGCAATAAACTTTGTCAGTAAATTATTACAAAATAGAGAATACACAAGGACATTACAATAAAGCCTATCAGGGAGTTAGAATTCTTTATAGTTTACAATGTCTTTTGCTGCAACATTGAAAACAAATATACACCACCATAGGAATACAGATTATATTTAAAGATCATCACATTTGATGGAAAATAACACTATTTTCATATGAAGCTTTAAATGAGTGTATTTTTAACAAAGAAGACAATTTTTAAATTAAATTGTCCTCGTAATTGAAAATAAAGGAATAGATTACATAAACAGGCATTTTGAATTATATACAAATCATGAAACTACTTTTGTTTTATTGCATGACCTCAACAAGTTACAGGAAATACCAGAGGAAATATTAAAATGCCATTGCATACATTACATTTTGTATTAAATTCAATATAAAGGTGATACAAGGGATCTTTGTTACGATACTGTATCTTGACTTGGGAATGAATACATGGATCTATACACCAATAAAATTAGGTAAAGCTAAATACACACATAGATGAGTTTATGTAAATTAGTGAAATATGAATGAGATCAGTGTATTGTATCCATGTCAGTTTCCTGCTTATGACATTGTACTATGGTTTGTAAGGTGTAACCATTGGGGGAAACTGGGTGAAGGGTACATCTATTATTTCTTATAATTTGCATTTTAATCTACAATTATTTTAAAAGTTTAATTAAAAATTACATTCTCACATACATGAAACTGATTTGTATGAAGTTATATATTAACGAAAAATTTTTCTGTGAGAATCATAAGCTCTAGATGTTCTAAAATTTATATATTAAAATAAATTTATCCCAATTTATCAGAAATTTATCCCAGTGATGTTACAGCCTGTAAAGTATTCTTAATAGCTCCAGTAACAGTTGCATCAACATAAAGATCTTTCTTAAAACTGAAAAGTATCAAAAATTATTTGTAATCTTGCATTAGCCAAAAGAACCTGATGATTTTATCATTAGATTTTATCATTAGATTTTATCATTTAGATTTTATCATTAAAAATGAATTTGCTAATTGTGTAAATTTTGATGAGCTGAGAAAAAAATTTGCAGAAAATTAAGCCAGAAAAATTATATGATAAATCAAGATATCACAATAATATACTATTATTATTTACTGTATTATGTATAATTATGATTTTGAAATATTATTTTTTGGAATTTATACATTTGGTATTGTTACTCATCTATCACTATTATCCTATTAAGTTTTATAAGTAATAAAATCTTTTTAAAGGAAAAATGTTTAAGTATTATTATTTTTAACAACACTTTTTTTTCTAAGTTTTGATATAAAATGCCCCAAATTTTATTTTTCACTAGACCTTTAAATTATGTAAAGCTAGGGAGTTTGGTACAAATTAAACAAAAAAATTCTTTAAATCTTATTAAAGGGTAAATAAGATACATTGAACACCTTATTTTTGTATGATTGAGCTTAGAATAATGTTTTGAAATGACATCAGAAATTGCATCTAATAACTTATCTCAGAAGTCAGCTTATTTCTCCAGAGAATTTGCCAAGAAGTGATTTTGCTTATTTTATTTTACTTTAGTATTAAAAAAAAAAAAAGGTTCATTCATCATCAACTCTGACATTTGAATTCCAATATACATTACCCTGAAATAGGGCTTCAGAGAAGTCTTTCCATTTATCAAACCTGTATTTCAAAATGTGTTTATCTTTTTACTTCAGAAATATAAGATGAAGGACTATGCAAATATGTCAATTAGGATTTTAAAAATCTAAACATCATTGTTTTGATAAAAATGCCTATGCTTAGGCCCATCATCTTCACACTCATCTCAGCTTGCAAATGAATTACAAGAGAATGACCAGATTTCCAGGAAATTTTGAAATGAGCCCATCAGCATTCGTCCTTGGCATTTTTATGTGATACTCATACCATTGTCCGCAAAGTAATTTTCATTTTAAAAACAACAATCCTAAAACTGACTAGGAATGCATATGTTAACAGTAGACTAAGCAGGCTTTGAAAAACATCAAGTCATTTGATTAGCAATTAGGGAGAAGCACCTATGTAAATGCTCCATCACAAGGCTGTTCCTCCATACTCAGTGTTCTGTAATGCTTTTGTATACAGGTCATACTTACTTCATATTCTGCAATCTTAATGGCTCAATTTTTTTTTTCCTCTCCTGTTCCAGAATGATTCTTGGGGAAAGCAGTATTCATATGCACTCTTCAAAGCCATGAGCCACATGCTGTGTATCGGGTACGGAGCCCAGGCCCCGGTCAGCATGTCTGACCTCTGGATCACCATGCTGAGCATGATCGTCGGGGCTACCTGTTACGCCATGTTTGTGGGCCATGCCACAGCTTTAATCCAGTCTTTGGATTCCTCAAGGCGGCAATATCAAGAAAAGGTAATTTGTTTTATCTCTAATATCTTCAATCAGTTATTTTGTAAACTCAATTAATAGTGTTCAAGATAACTAAACTATCTCCCCTATCGAAAAGTTAATGAGATGAAATGTTTAAAGCCGGAAAACACAATCTGTTTTGATATTTTGAGGTTTCCTTAAGATGATCTTCATAGCTTTTATTTGTTTTCAATTTCTCTCTTGAATATTTTTTTTAAAACTCTGAATTTGCATTTGCAGGAAAAAATAGTTACATGTTTCAAAATGTATGAAGCTGATTTAAGGAATTATGATTCATGTTTTATCATATTTTCTCAGTTAAAATAATATAAAGCCTTCTTTAGTTAAAAAACGATATGAGATGATTAAATGGGGACAAGCAGCCATTGCTCATGTCCCTCTGTGCCTCTCCTCAGGTTATAATCATAATTTATATTACAATTCATATGCTTAGCTGAACATATGTTGCCCTTATATCTGGATAAATCGCCACACCCTCCAGTCTTAAAAATGCATATTAACAGCTGCTATTACGCATTCTCCTACACAATCTGTTAATTAAAATGATCGCTGCTCTAAACTTTTCTCAAAAAAGAGAATAAAAGTAGATATATGAAATGATTTATTCATTGAATTTTTTTCCATATACTGAAGGAATTTGGCCGAGACTAAACCTGGGACAGTAGGACAATACTTATATTCCTGACCATCGTCAGTAAATTTCTAACAGATAAATAAGAATATTTCATAACTGAAGGAATAATTTACTGTATGGGGGCTCTTCTGAACCTGACATAGTATATAGTATACACCTTGCCAAAGAGTATTTCTGAACGTAATGGTCATACAGTTTTAGAACACTTCTGGTGAGTGATAACAGCTTAGACTTATAATTACAAAACAGAGCCAAAAATCGTTTCAGTTACAAAATTTTTCAACACTGTAATCACACAATAGGAGAAAGTTACTTTATTTCCCTTGAAGGTAATTATACTGCCACCCACTCTTACAGTGAGCAAGTTGATATTTTATTACCGAAGTAATGAAAAGATGAACCATCAAATTGCTTTGAGGTTCATTTTAAAATAAAGCCTCCAGTTAAATTGTAAAGAACAAAGCCTATAGTAAGGGAGAAGAAAATTTACACAATGGTGACTTTGACTGAAAATTGTAACTCAAAGGAATTCGGACTAAATTTATGAGAATTTAAGATAAGACTATAACAAAGTATATGTTTCTCTTATAGTCTTTCCCTTTCAATTGAAATTGCTTTTTATAAAAAATGCTCTTTTTCTACCTTCTTTTTGCCTGTGTCATTGCTACCTATTTTCTTTAAAACAAAAAAACAAATCTCCAATTTCCAGGATTGTTATTTATTAGCATTGTATTGCATATTGAGTGAATTCACCATTTCTATGATTTTAGATCTACTGTATAAGCCAAGTTTAATTCGGAAAACTAATTCATCCAATGATGTAATTATAGACATTTATAAGTGAAGATGTTATGATGTTATTTAAGTCATGAAGTTCTTGATCTTACAAGTGCTTAATATTTAGAGTGAAATTTTGGGGTCATATTATAAGTTTAACTTGTTGAAGAACTGCTTATTTTGTAGTTAATATTTATCTTTAGATATATTGAAACTATCTGCCACAAATGCCTGAGAAATGAATATTGATATTAATTTCACTGTCATATACTCATTAGTAACATATTTTTGATGTCAAAGAATCTCTAATACATTTTTTCTTTATTATTTATTTTATTTTATTTTATTAGTTTCAACTATACATTACATTGGTTAGATATTTATATGGTTTATAAAATGATCCCCTTAATTGCTCTTTCTCTACTCTGGCTCTCTACCTAGCCATTACATTAACTGCATTCCCTATGCTGTGCTCCCCATCCCCACGACTATCTATCAACTACTAATTTATACTCCTTTAACCTTTCATAGTAGCCATTCAAAATGCACTGGCATTCAACCCACCTACTCTGGTACCAGAATTCACTCCCAGACATTACACTGTAATGTCCATCACTTATCACACTGTTTGGCTCAAATGACCATATTGGATGACTACTGAAAGTCATCCAACTCGTTATATAAGTTTGGAAGCTCAGATTAATTCTTCCTTCCTAGGGAAAATCTGTTTAATCTGGGCCTTCCAACCTTAAATAGTTCTGTCATTCCAAACAATAGCATTAGGTCTTCTAATTATGAATTCATTATCTACACAATATACTAATGTTGATAATCTTACAGGGCTATATCATCATCATCATCATCATCATCATCATTGCCATCATTATTTTCTCTTTTGACCTAAAAATATGTATGATGGTCTTCATACTGCAACATTGCAGATTATACTTTGACTTGAATCACAATGCATGCTGCTGATTTCATGAGCTATCATGTTTTATATTTTATTATATTTTAGAAAGCTTCATTTTCCCCTTTACCCAGATGTAAGTGGATTTATGGCGTGAAACGGGTGACATTTAAAATGTCCCTCTTTCGATGCTCTGCTCTGGATTACCAGCAAGCTGCATAGTTTCTGTAACTGGTATATTGATCAAGATCAACTTCAGAAATAACCAAAAACAATTGCATTTTTTTCTTTTAACTTTATTTAGTGAGAGTCATTTTTCTGAGCAAATTAAATCTCCGCCTGCGACCCCCCTCCCCACCTAGGGCTTTTGGGGACTGGCAGCCAGAAGCGAGAAAGGTAGGCTGGCTCCATATGCTCTCTTCTCTCTCCTGTCCTAAGCCTACCAGCAGATGCTCTTTATCATCAGGGTAAAATACAGAAAGAAGAAGGAAAAGGAAGGAAAGAAGCAGTTTTAATGTGCCTGCTAGATGTATTAAGTTGGGTGTCTGGCAGATAATTAAATCCAACACTTCCTTGGGGCCCTTTAGGTAAGCCCCTCTGAGTTTATCTCCTGCATTTCCCTATATGAGGCCTTGATAACTGCTTTCTGCTGAGGCTCCTTGCTCTGCCAGGGGGAACTTGGATAGGACCCATAATGTAATACTGGCCCCCTGGATGGCTCAGATCCAGTCCACAGAGAAGCACTCCTGCCCTCTCTCAGCCCATTTCTCAGCAATCCACCACCTCCTCCGCCAAAGCAATGAGGGGCCAGAATCTAGCCTCCAATTCCTTGTCAGGAGTTGGACCCCAGTGTCCACAGGCTATTTACGTGTTCTCACGTGGTATTCAGGGCCCAGGCCCATGTCTCCCAACTACGTGAACATATGTCAATGATCCCCAAGTGGTTTTCTTGAAACTCTCTTGAAACTTGACACAAGTCAAGTGTCAGAAGGTAGCCCTCCTACATCCCTATCTCAAAAGGGGTTGGGAAACGGACTCAGAGCAGAGCAATCACTCTCTCCAAAGAAACACTCTTCACTAATCCCATCACAAAAATTCTCACTCTACCTTTTGACTTCTATGGAACTTTGATGAGGCTGAGACCTCTCGCATCTTGATTCTTGGATCACTATTAACAAGTGTAAACCCATATATCAGAGACCCTCTTATTAGTCCTAATCTTGCAACCTTTTAGATCTTTCTTTATCTCAACTCTTCTCAAAGCCTCCTCTATAGACAATGCCAACAAGTCTTATATATACACATACGTGTATATATGACTTATTGTTGATATATACATATAATTGTTTCTTTGTCAAAAAAGTTTGGAAATTTTGATTGAAACAATATATTAAAGGTTTTTGTTGTTGTTGTTGTTGTTGTTTTTGTCATAGACCTGTGTGCCTCAAACATTTAACATGAAACTCCCATGTATTTTAAGTGATTAATGTGTACTTTGGGAAATACCTATCTAGACAAACTCTTCACAGTCACCATTCCCTTTTCTCTTTTCTTTAACTATTCTTGGGTAGCTACTATTTTCTAGCTCTATCTGTAGTTTATCTAATCTTCATAAAATGAAACTGCTTTTGTTCATCTTAAGTCTTTGTACCACTGCATCTTAGTTCTTACCCTTGGATACCCCTGGGAAATCTACTATTATTTCTAGACTTGTCACTCTCTTTCTTTTCAACTAATTATAATAATAGCAGCTTTTAGGTGTGTAATTTCCTAAGCAAGAATCTTAACACAATACACATTATGAATTTAGAGTAAGAGATTTTGAACTCACATTGGTGTACTTGATGTAGATGAAAGATCTTTAATGTGAAATCTGAATATGACCAAAGAATGACTTTAATTGTATCGGAAATTATCAAACTAAAATATCTTTATACACTGAATAGCTTCCTGAATCCAGGAAGCAAAGTGTATAAAACCGAAGCACGTGCAGGAATGATTTGTTTTAAAAGACTGTGCTTTCTAACGGTAGAACACAAGACAGTGAGCCAGTGTGCCAGTGCTACTCTGGGCTTTAAATTTTGCTTATGTTATATAAAACTTTTTGAATTACTTATTCTCAGTTTAATAACAAGAAATTAAAATGCTAAATTTATCCAATAGAACAAAATGATAAAATTTTGTCTTTCTCTGCAAGAGTTGATACGATTATCCATGAAAGTCCTCTTAGAATAAGTAGTCTCTGTACAAGTGACTTATATCTACTATGAAACCATATTGAATTATGCAATTTTATGTAACCATATCAAAAATGTTAATATTTTAAATCTAGTCAATTCAAGCAAATGTTTCTTCTTGGTTTAAATTAATCATAGATCCTTATTTTTTCCTTGTAAATGAAGGGTTATAATCACGTACATTGCTTATCCCATAGAAATCAGTTTTCGTTTTTAGTCTGTCTAATCTTCCAAATTTGTGTAAGGCATAACCAGAGACAAAAGGCTGGGCGCCAAGATCTGCTCTCATTTTCAATCCACTCAAATCCTATTTGCAATGAAGCACATTTCAGGTCATTTAAAATAAAGTGATTATGCTTAATGTGTATTTTTTTTTCTTGATTAAATGCCCTTTGAGAAGAATTTGGGTGGAGGAGGACTGGTG